TTCAAAGGATAACGATGAATTGCTCTTAGGCCCTCTTCAAAGCTGAAGGCTGGGACTGTGGGAGAGGCAGGAGCGCTTGCTGCATTTTACTGGTTTGCTCTGGTTCTTGGTGTGCAGCAGCAGCTTAGGAGGATGGCAGCTGACTGAACACTCTCTTGATTTTAAGGAAACTAAGCCTCAGTGCTGTTTGTTAGCGCCTCCCTTTTGGATGGGGAGGAAAGCCCTTCCCTCGGTGTCATATGGAGTAATGAGTGTGCTGTGACAACAAATCTAAGATGTGGTGTAGGAATTGCATACCCTTAGAAACTGTTACTGAGAAGTTAAATTTGCTGCTTTTAAGTATCTTCTCAAAGCTTGCTGAGATGAATCACTCTGTCCCAAGAGGCTTTTGGTGGTGATCCTTGCCCCCGTGGGGAGAGTGTGGGTATAGTCCAATGGCTGATGTGCTGTGAGGAGGTTGCTTCATGACTTTGTTCCCTTCAAGCTGCAGCTTCTGGCATTCAGCTGCTTCATTCCTGAGGAAATTTCCCTTTTCTGCTTGTAGTGTCTTGTGTGCGTGCACTCTCTTTTTCTCTCCCTTGTGTAAAGGTGTCCTGTAACTTGGACCTTGCTTCCTTTCTCTCCTTGCTAGCGATTGCTGCTGTTTGCAGACCTGACGTAACAGAGCGAGTGTAGAGCGGTGGTTCCATAGCTACTGATGTCTGACAGAAAAGGAGTCGGAGATCTCAATGCTGCTAAACAGAGGCAATTTGTATCTCCTTGTAGTAGTCTTATTAAAAAGAATAAACCAACAAAAAACTACAATCCCCCTCCTCCTATTTTAGCAAGCTGGGCCAGAAGCATCTCTCAGGGTGAGCAGAGTTAATCTTCATCATTGCAGCATTGACTGACAACCTGGAGGATGATAATGTGTGATTTTTTTTTTTTAATTTTTTTATTTTTTCTGGTGAGCGGGGGAGGAGAGTGGAAATTGCAGTTTCTCTGCTAATTGTACTTTAGATGTCATTTGTGACAATTTCATATTGTCTAGACAGAGATAGTGGAGCAATTGCTTCCACAGAGCCTAGTGTTAGCCTGTTATATACCTGGGTAGCAAAAATGGGGGGTGTGGGAGAGGAAGAGGGTGCTGTAAGCTCCAGAAAGGATTCAGGAGTCAAGTATGATCTACTGAAATGTCTCAAAAGGAGATGCAAGCAATATGCATTTCTGTTTTCTCTTTGCGTGCTTCTCTGTTAGAAACTTAGATGTTTAATGGCTAGCAGTTCCCTGTAACAGAGCTGCTTCTATTCAGCTGTGGATTATGTTTATCCTCCTTAACAGAATTGCTCCCAACCTCAGCATTTACCGTGGTAGGATATTGGGTTACCTTATACTTTGGAATCACTGAAAACAAATAGTCTGTGTCTCTTCTGGGACTTTGGGTGACAAAAGCTATGAATGTGGCACCTAAGACTTGATAGAGTTCAGCGTGACTTACTTTAAAAATATTTATCTGCGCCTTCCTCGGGGACAGTAGGTTACCCTACCAGTGTCACAGATGGGACACTTTATTGATGATTGTAGCAGTGTATCTGTTATTGAACCCATTTGTCAGTACCAAATGCATTCGGATCTGTAACTTGGGCCTCAAGGGCTCAGTCTAGAATGAGTTAGTTAAATAATAGATTTTATTTGTGTTTAGTACTCTGGTGTCAGTATGATACTGTTATTCTCTGGAGCATTAAGCACAGAGATGGTCCATCTGGATCTCATGAGATTGCATGTTGCCTTGTTTTGGTTTTTTGCCTACTGTATGTATTTATATCCACCTGTTCATTGCTCTGTGATCTGAGAGGGCACAGTTGTAGGACAACTAAGAACTACCAATCAGGCTTAAAATCAGCTATAGCTTTTAGCAGTTACTGTTAACTGAATTATCTTTGCCCACCTGATCTGAATGTGGCCCTAGTATGTGGCTTGTGTCCCTCAGTGTGAGATAGTGCAGGAGCTGAGTTTGGTCTTGGCAGGCTTGGAAGGTTCTGCTGGAAAGGCCGTCTTAGCTGAGACTAAGCTGAGTTCAACTCAGCTCAGCCTCAGAGAGGGTCCTGGGGAGTGAGTTTAACAGTATACGTTTGTCATCCCACGCCCCACAACCCCATAACTACTGATCTTCCACCAGGGAGCCCTTCTGGTGAAGGAGGTGCTCCTAAAGCAGCAGCAGCTCCTGCTGCATCATGGGGTGGAGTTGCAGGCTGTTCAGGTAAAATCACAGGGCCGTGAGGCCTATAGGAAGTCTGTTTACCCGGATACCTGGCCATCCTGTGGCTCAGGCAACTGTTGGTTTGTGTTTTATTAAAGTAACATATACCAGCTCTCATCTGGGGTGCCAGGTACCTGACAGAGCAAGGCTCTTCAAGTATTTATTTCACGGATCAGATGGGGTGTAGAGGTGAGAACTGTAGATTCCCCAAAGTGCTGTTCCCGAGCCAAGCAGAGGGACTCCTAGCAGTTCTATACCGAGTTACTACAATGTGTGCCCTGCTTCTGCTTCCACACCCTTCTGGTGCCCTCTGGTTGGTATACGTTTTGATTTCCTTCAGTGCAGCTGCTGGCTGCTTTCTGAAAGTGATCCCTCTAAGGCAATGCTCTCCTCAGGCAATTGCCAGCCTTTCCAAAGGTGAGAAGAGAAATATGGCTGGAGAATACCTGGAGACTCCTTTCTAACAGAGCCTGCTGGGCCATGCAGCATGTACTGGCCATCGTCCCTTGTGGCTCTGATTTTGCTGTGTCATTTAGTGGATAGACCCTGAAAAGCTGGGAAAGAGGGTGGCATGTATAGGCACCAAGACTTTTGACAGGGATGATGAGTTTGATTATTTGTGTGTACACACATTATCAGGACACCGTAGGCATTGCAGGGAAATAGCATCAAACAAGCCACTTGGGTTGTGTGTAGGTTGCTCACACCTGTAAGGAGGCAGCTGCTGTTTCTAGAGTTGTGGCCCTGCCAGCCTCTGTGTGCTGTGGGACCTCTTTTTCCCTGATTAAGTCCGGTGGTTAGGCAGGATGGTCCAGTAGGGTGGCAGCCTCAGCACATCCAGGCTGCTTGCAAACTGCTGGTTTTGGAGTGTTCTGCATAAGCAGCTCTGAAGAGCAGAGTTCTAAAAAGCATGTTGGTGTTGCAGTGCCAGTAACCCAGTCTCTGAACTCTGAGCCAGTGGTTTAGAAAGGGGCCAGCTGACTGAATAGGTAGAATATCCCTTCTGCTAATTTTAATCTGTCTACCTTTCCCCTCAGAAGAAACAAAAGCAGTTTATATATGATGCAGGTGATATGAGGTATACCTCATAGGTATAGGACTTCAGGTATAGCTCATAAAGCTGTTGCACTGTTTGTTCTGGATTAGCTGCTTTTGCATATATTTGGAGCAGGAGAGAGGGTTTGGTAAGGCAGGGTTGAAGTATGATAACTTTCTGGGGAGCCAAGGGATTCCTAATATCTAGCAGTGTTGAAGGTTAGAGCTTTTGACTCAATAACCTGGGGAATTAATTAATCTCAAAGTTTAAGAGATGTAATAACTGTTCTTGAATAAGACAAATGGTTGCTAAGCAACTTCGTGCCAGAGAGGACAGGATTTCTTGCCTTCTGTAGAGTCCCAGTGCTTTGCAGCAAGTACCGAGTCTCTTGAGCTGACACATGCCTTTCCAAGTAACCAGAGCAATCTCTTGCTGTTTTCTGTATTCTAGATTTATAATGTAAAATCGAAGTAATTTTTTTTTTAATTGCTGGAAGGCAGTGAAAAGTTGTCTTGAGATCCTGATGGGGGGGCTGCTACTGGAAAAAACGTCTCATTTGCATTTCTGCTGTCTTTATCTGGCTAGAAATGGGAAGTTGGGCGTGGATTATATCTGGTCCTTCTTCCTGCTTCCTGTGTTGACACTTGCTGTCCTGCATTGCAAATGTTAACTGCAAATTAGGAGTGTGGGGCTAAGACTGATAGGTTCAAATCTTTCTTGCCAATTGTGTGTGTGTGTGTGTGTGAATAGAACAGATAAATCGTTGGACCCCTTTGACTTTAAAACCACAACAGTTTTCACTTAAGTTACTACGACTAGGAAACAAAATTTAGCAGGAGTTCCGAGGCAAAAAGACTTGAAAGGGAACTCAGCAGCCTTATAAATTTTGGCAGTTGATTTTTTTCCACTCTCCACACCCACCCCAAATCATCTCTCTTGTTAATCTAATGGCTGAAACAGGCTTGAATGAATCTGTCTTGAAACAATGCCATCCTCTGCTTTATGACAAGAAGCTAGGTAGAGGTGCATGTAGAAGCCAGGGTGGAGGACATGTTCCTGCTGTATACTTTTGATTCTGCTGCCTTCATGACTCAGACTCACTTCTCGCATATTCAAGCTGTCTGGCTGCATTTGCATACATTTACTTCTTGAGTGAATATTTGGTATCTCTTAATCCCTGTGGCTGATTAAGATACAGAGGAAACGAACATTTTTTTTTGTAGCTGAAAACCTCTCTTGCTGAGCCTTGAGACTAAGATTGAATATCTTACTGTGAATAAACACCAGCAGTGCCCTTAGAGTCCACATGCCGAGCTGTGTTCTTTGTCCTGTGCTCCTTGGCCCGTTCCCTGTGTAGTCACCTTTGAGTAGGTAAGAATTTGACAAATGGCCAATGCAGCCAATGTGTTTATGGACCTGACAAATTGGGATGGCTTGTCTCCAAAGGAGAAGTAGCATCTGCATCTTTCTCTTGAAACTTGGAAGTGGGTTTGGGACCACTCTTCTTCCTTATGTGAGGTGTTCTTTCTCCTGCGCAGTGAGAATATTACACTTTGAATAGCTATGTGGTGAAAACGCTTATGCCATCAGTGAGTGGTTCAGTATGCTGCAGAGTTCTCTGCACTGATGATAGAAATAGTCTTAAGAGGTTTCAGAAAGTAGGGCATAAATAGGGGGGATGTTTCTGAATGGTCTTTGACTTTGTCATTTGTTTTTCCTTTCTAGGAGGTTGCTGGAGTCTTCCCTCATTTCATTATCTCGCTACGATGGAGCAGGGTCCCGGGAACATCCAATCTACCCAGATCCAGCCAGGTAAGAGCTAAATGCAATCTAAAGGCATTTAAGTTTCATAGGCAAAAGCATAACTTTGGTATAACTCACTGAATCCTTTGGGAATGGTTCTAATATTGGGCTCATCTCTTCCTCAATGACTTGCCATGGGGGCAGGGTGCAAACCAAATGAGAAGATGCTGTTAAGTCTGGGAGAGAATGAGGAAAAGAAGAAATTGCTGTTGAAGTAAGCACATAAGGATTCCTGAAATCATTTGGGATGGAGAACACTAGGTGGCAAGCAGGTCCAACAGTAAACGAGATGATATCAGTAAATTTGAAATCTCTTTTGAAGAAAAATGAAGAAAAAGCAAATAGTCTATTCAGGAGTAAGGGAGAACGCAGTAAAGGCAGTTAGGAGCTGGTGTGAGCAGACAATGTGCTTGGGGAGAATGGAATGTCTCCATAAATGTATCTGTATGAGAGAGCATAACCAGGATGTTAAGTATACTTAACTAAGAACAAAAGACTGACAATTATTTCTGAAGAGTCATGAATCATTGACAGTAGACATAGAAACACCCGTAGTGCTGCTTAATCTCTAGAAGAGGTGGGAGTGTTTCAGAGGACTAGAAAATGCAAACGTGGCAGAGTATCAAAAATGGAAAGGAGTGATCTTTGCAGTTTCAACTTAGTGTAAGCAACAGATGGGGTAATGTGACCCACAGACTCTGTCAGAAGAAATGATAGAATCGTGAACAGCAAGCAGCTTTGGAAGCTTTCAAAGAATAAATCGTGACAAATAAACTTTTTTTAGATGGGTTTAACAAATCTATGAATGAGGAAAATTCAGTAAGTGTAAAATAGATCTTATTTAGCCTCTTAGGGAACCTCTGGCATAGCTGCATGAACTGAAGGCGACTAGGATTTATCGTAAAGGAGAGTACAGAAATACCAGTGTATGCAAATTAAATATCTAAGTTGCTGAAGGAGGTTTGGGTTTTTTTTTTTTAAATCTCGTTCTCTTTTTACATCATTAACAACAAAATCTGCATTTTTATACAGATGATGCTCTAAGTACAAGTTCTGAAATAAAAGGCTATGTTGCAAACTGGCTACATGGTATAATTATGCTGGTGAACAGCTCCTTGCTAACTATTCTCTGTAGATAAAGCCTTGTAGAGGTGAAATCTTATATTAAGCTTTTTTCCATTTATTGCGAACAAAATTGCTTTGTAAACATAATTCAGAGGCTCAGGAATGATGTAAATAAAACTGTAGCGAGGTGAAAGTAAGGTGGAGTGTGCTACCTATATGTAAGGTCACTGGGAAATCAACCTAGGTAACTGCAGAAGGACTTGGCAACTGCATGTCAGAATGATGCTGATAAATGTAAAAACTTTCTAAATGGCAATTGATTAAATGACAGGTAAAGGGATTGATTTACCTGAAAAGATGAAAATGATATTTTACAAACGTTAATTAAAAGGTATTACTACATTCAGGTCAATTTATGAATGCCAAGACCTGCTAAATGGCTGGAAGTGCACCATTCCTTATTTCTGGAGTGTGTAATCCAAAGCAGGCAGATTTATTGAGCAGAGATTGTAAGAAGTGATTTTGACTCTCCGGGAGCTGCCTTTTAAAAAAGAGAAGGAGGAGGGCCTGCCTAGGTTACTGATTCCCCCACCCCCCCTTCTGTCATATCTCTGCTATGATGAAGCTCAATAAAATGTATGAAAAGGATCACTGCCTGAGACATTTCCTAGCATAAGGAGCATTGTCAAAAATATTTTTCTACTTGAAGCCATTTTTTAACTGATAAGATGCTCTTCACATGACAGTTCAGGTGTTTTTATGTTGTGGTAGAAGCTATAGCAGCTTGAGTTTATAAGGATCTTTGGGAGAAAAGTCCAGGGCTGAAACTTCTTTTAAGAGGGTTAATTTTTTCCAGTAAGTGTCACTGCCCTTTTCAGAGGATGAGATTCATAGATGCTTAATCAGCACGAGCTAGAAGTTTGAATGGGGTAAGATCAGAGTCTTCCTCCATAAACCTTACTAGTGTGCTAGGCTTAGTAGGATCTTTTTAACTGTCCCTTTAACTTGTTAGAGATTGAGGATGTGGTTAAAAGGAGTGTTATTGCATTTTGAGGTTTTTTTGTGATGTCATAAGTTTGTAACAGAAAGTTATGACTTTCAGATGTTCTTAAATAACAAAGTGGAAAAGTGAAACAAAGGCGAAATAAACATATCTATATATGTGTGTGTATGTGTGTTCAAATCATAGAATCATAGAATGGTTTGGGTTGGAAGGGACCTTAAAGATCATCTAGTTCCAACCCATCTGCCATGGGCAGGGGCACCTCCCACTAGACCAGGTTGCTCAAAGCCCCATCCAACCTGGCCTTAAACGCTTCCAGGGATGGGGCATCCACAGCTTCTCTGGGCAACCTGTTCCAGTGCCTCACCACCCTCATAGTAAGAATTTCTTCCTTATACCTAGTCTAAATCTACCCTCTTTCAGTTTAAAGCCATTACCACCCCTTGTCCTATCACTACATGCCCTTGTAAGAAGTCCCTCTCCAGCTTTCTTGTAGGCCCCCTTGGTACTGGAAGGCTGCTATAAGGTGTCCCCGGAGCCTTCTCTTCTCCAGGCTGAACAACCCCAACTCTCTCAGCCTGTCTTCACAGGAGAGGTGCTCCAGCCCCCTGATCATCTTTGTGGCCCTCCTCTGGACTCACTCCCAACAGGTCCACGTCCTTCTTATGTTGGGGACCCCAGAGCTGAACGCAGTACTCCAGGCAGGGTCTCACGAGAGTGGAGTAGAGGGGCAGAATCACCTCCCTTGACCTGCTGGCCATGCTTCTTTTGATGCAGCCCAGGATACGGTTGGCTTTCTGGGCTGCAAGCGCACATTGCCAGGTCACACTGAGCTTCTCATCAACCAACACCTCCAAGTCGTTCTCCTCAGGACTGCTCTCAATCCATTCTCCGCCCAGCCTGTATTTGTGCTTGGGATTGCCCCAACCCATTTGCAGGACCTTGCACTTGGTCTTGTTGGACTTCATGAGGTTTGCACAGGCCCACCTCTCAAGTGTGTCAAGGTCCCTCTGGATGGCATCTCTTCCCTCCAGCATGTTGACTGCACCACACAGCTTGGTGTCATTGGCAAACTTGCTGAGGGTGCACTAAATCCCACTGTTCATGTTGCCGACAAAGATGTTAAACAGCACCTGTCCCAATACCAACCCCTGAGGGAAATATATGTACCTCTTTAAGACCAAGCTGTCTCTAGTGGACTCCATGATCTGAAGAATTTATTTTTAAGAGCATGTGTGTGTATTAGTTTTGTTTCTGCATCTACTGTCTGTAATGGTGCTATATTTGAATAATCTAGGTCAGGAGTGAGGCAGGGAGAACATTTTTTGAAGTTCCCTCAGATTTAGAATGAATATTCTGATGTAGACTGCAGCAGTCTTTCTCTGAAAGACCTTGCTGAACTTCTCTAAGGTCAGCTTGGCTGTTCTGTTCGCCACAGTTTCCATATGTACTGAGCTCCGAAAACAATTTGCAGAGGAATCAAACAAAGCTGTCATCAAAGAACACTTGTATTTATTTATTTATTTATTAAAATAGAAATACTCAGAGATGCTCCCAGACTGTTTGGTAGATATGTCTGTAGAAAAAATCTAAGCTGCTAGAAGGTTACTGGGAGAGAGACCCTCAGGCTGAATGTTGCCTGTGAGTTGAAGGCTTAAGTGGAATGGAAGCAGCCAAAAGTTGGTGTCTGCTACTAGCATTGCCTTCAGGTCAAGGATTGGTGGTATGTACTGTAGATATCACCAAGGAAATTAATGACACAAATCAGGTAACCCCTTTAAAACATGTCTGCTGGCTGAGAGTCATTTAGAGGTGTGAGCTGTAATAATGTTAGTGAACATCCTGGCCATCAGCATCGAGGCCGGATTGATGAGTGGTGTCAGTACTTCTGAAATGTTAGGAAGCTTGGGGGTCAGCACAGCAGTATAGTGCTCTTGGATGCAGATATACCAATTCTTGTGGCTGTCTTGGGGAACTGGGTCTAGACATTCTCCAGTTGACGTTCTTGTGATTTTTTTTTTTTAATTTACTTCCTTAGAAGATACTAAAATGGGGGAGGGTGAAGAGAAGCAACCTTTGTGTAAAAATCTTCATGTTGTCCATAAATACAGCCAGCTGGATCGGATATCTGGCTGTAGCTGAGGACACTGTGCTATGTAGTAGCTCGCTCTTTAGTACTTACGATGCCATTTAGAGCAAGATACTTGAACTTTACTAGTGCTAGGAAAACACTTCCTTCCCTCAGTTCCACTTCCAACTGTCCAGCCAGCAGCACTGGGTGCCTAGAGAATGCACTGCTTCTCGATCACATGGTTGTTGGATTGGACAGAAGCTGTTCGGTCTGGTTTTTGCACTGTGGCATTTCTCCCACTCAGTGCCTCGTTCTGTGGCCATTAGCTGTAGCAGCATAGCCTCTCCTCCTCTGAACCATCTGCTCCAGTAAATGGGGTCCAGTCACCCTAGAGACTAGGTTAATTTAGCTCCTGTGGTGTTGTCAAATACTGTCCTGTGGATGCAAACTTGGTTTAAAAATTACTGAATAACCTCTATCTGTGTTTTGCCACTGCTTTGTTAGAAGCACAGGTGAGAAATAAATGGACTAGGCAGCCTGCTGTGACTGGCTTGTGTTTAGCCAGCTGGTAGACTAACTTTGGTCAGGGGCTGATTTACAGTTGTGTTCAATAGCTGAATGAACTGAAGAGTTATGTTTAATGTTAACCAGTGTTTCTTATGTTGCTTTGCAGCCTTCTCCTCCCTCTAGGACAGCAAATTCTCTTATGCTGGCTTTCAGCTCTGGTTCTGATTTGTGTCATAACTGTATTCTAAAGACAGATACAGCCTGACAAATACAATTTTTTTTTTTTTGCCCTGCATGCACTCATCTGCAAACATTAATTTCTTAGCCTGTTGCTTCGAATATGTTTCTTCCCTGCCCTTTTTGTATTTTATCCCTCGCACCTTGCTTTCTGTGTATCAGACGTAAGCTTCTTGTCTTCTCTTTGGAAATCTTTTTCACAGTCTATCCAGTCTACATACCATGTGCTGTCAGGAAGCTGAATCTGGCATCTCATCATCCATTATGGCAAGTCTTTATTGCCTACTCCTTCTCATTCTTCTAAGTAGCATCACTGTGTTTTCTCTTGTGATGTGCTGCATAATTTGGGAAGACTAAACGTCTGCAAAACTCATTCTTCATACCCTTCTGTATAACTCTTCCTTGGTGTGATATTAGGAAAGAAAAAAGTTTCAGTGATTACACTGCTGGACTGCTGAGACCACTGTTCATGTTTTCCAGTGTTGCCTTGTTTCCACTTCCTTTCTTTCTCTATGTGCACGTATTATGCCGTAGACTTATTTTTAGGCATACACAGAGGCTTTGGATTATGGAAAAGGCCAAAGAAGAGAACAGCTCCTCACTTACGAGTGCACTGCTGTAATGCCTTGCTTTTTTATACTTGGCCTATTAAATCTTCAGGGTAGTAGAGAGAAGTGCTGTGTTTGCACAGCGAAGCCTTCAATGTTATATAAGCACGAACAGCTTTAACTCATCAAACGGTGCATAAAAGATCCAGGAGGAATCCAAAACAAACTGTGTGTGTGGTTCACCTTACCCTTTTGCTGCTTATTGACAAAGTTTTTAGACCCCTGAGCTGGTCTGCTAAACTTCCCTCTACCAATGTGGCAGCCTAGTAGGGTACAGGGAACTTACCTTAGGGAAGACATTCTCTCTTTATGTCTACATGACTTCTAATTCCTTCTTTCTTGCCACTTTCTCTTTTGCTTATGTGCCCTGAATGTATGGTGGAATGAATGTGGATGTGAAACATCCATATATAAGCAAAATCTTATTCCCAGTACGTTCCCATAGAATCAGCACAGCTCTGGAAGAGAGAAAAAATAAAAAGTCTTCTAACGATCATATTATCAGAGATTATTATGGAGTTGCATTTTTGACGCTGGTTGTAGTGTAACAGAGTGAAACTCTAGTATTGGTCACGATAAAGTTAAACATATCCTTAAGAGTCTTCATGGCTGACGGTGAGGTACACTGTAAAATGAATTTAGCTTGAAACTCTGTTCTGAAGATAGGTAGCATTCCTATAAGGCAGACAGGCCACCTCTCTTTGTGATTGCAAATGAGAATATTTTCATCTCTAGACTATCCCCTGGAATTCACTGTTCATTTGAGGCTTTTTGTTTTATTTTTCTTTGTTTAAAGCTGTTCGCGTTTTCATTTGTAGATTAAAAATTAGGGCTACTCTCTCCATTATCAGTCTCTTGCCCGTGGTGCCTTTGCAGGAAATGAGATTGTATTTTCATGACCTCAGGAAGTACCAGTCTGGTAACTTGAATTGAATAAAAAAGAACAAAATCAAACACATGTATGGAAAGGGGGAGGGGGGGGCAGGGAGCTAGAAGTTAAAGAAATAGACATCTTAATATCTAATTACTTTGGGGGGATTGTTGTTGTCTCCCCTCCTTCCCCCCCAAATTAGAGTTCAAGTCTAATTCAAATGAGGCTAAATAAATGATTATTTAAGCATCTGAGGTGTCTGGACTTTAATACTGAGTAACTGTGTCACAGAAAGCGTGTGCTAGGAGCTGTGGATATATGCAGGGTTGGAAAAGAGAGTGTTTTTACCTGTCTAGCATCAAGGAAGGGGGTAATACTGGTGCGGGATAACTGATGCAAACAAAGGCCAAGTTATGCATGAGAGAGAATTAAGAATTAATTGCAGAGGAAGGTTTTCCTTTCAGGTGGGATGCAAGGCTTTTAATGCTCCTTTTAACATACATGTAGTGGATCTGATTAAATTGCCACTATATGAAAATCCCTACCATTTGGATTACAAAATAGTTAAACAAAGCTGTTAAATCTTTTTTCCCTCCTGCTTGATACTTTATGGTGCTCCCATTAAGTACTCTCAAAACAACACCTTCCTTCGATGTTTATTTGAACACTGCTGTGGTTTGGCATTGCAAGTAGAGTTCACGTTGGGAGTGGGCTTGATTCTTATCAGGGATGCTTGCTGGGGTTAGATGTGTGAACTAGTAATAAATGAAACAATGGATGAAACAGTGGGCTCCAAAGAGTCCCGAGAAGCAAACTTCTCTGTGCTGTCGATGAGCTTTTTGTCTATAGGTACTGTGTAGTGCTTCTGTTTGCAGAACAAGGGAATCACGTGGGAGTGTAGCATATAAAGGGAAAATTACTTCTACTTGGTTTCTTTATTTACTCTGTCTTACTCGCGGATAAAATGCAAACAGCCAATTTTGTGATGTGCTGTTACTGTCCTGACACTTGGAGCTCAAAAGGAAAAATAGGACTGGCTGTCATTCTATACTTGTGTAACGAGTGTCTGTATATCTCTCTCTCTCTCAGGTTGTCTCCTGCTGCATATTACGCGCAGAGGATGATCCAGTATCTTTCCCGGAGGGACAGTATTCGACAACGCTCTATGCGATACCAACAAAACACGTCTCCTCTCTTCCTCCTCCTCTTCTTCCACTTCAGAGAACTCAAGCCCAGCTGTAGACGGAAATGATCTGGAATTTGAAGATTTTGAGTAAGTGTGCGTGCTGCCTTGCCCTCTTGCTTGAGTCTGTTGTCAGCCCAAGACTGCTTTGTGGCTTCCTACTGTTTACCAATCAAAGACATCTCAGGCTTCCTGTAGGAACAGGTTAAGTCAAGTCATTCAATCAATAATTAGAGCAGTGATTGCTACAAATGGGTCTTGTCATTTCTGTTATGAAAATTAAGATGCTTTAGGCTACCTTCAACACATCAGGCTATCTCAACCAGATTTAAAAGACTGGTTAGATAAAGAAGGGGGGAATCTTTTTCTTCCATGGAACAGATGGGGAGCCAAGAGTTTATTAGAGCCTTCAAATCTTGAGATAGAACAGGAACCACTAAGAGGCTTTGCAGGACTTAGTTCTTTGGTCTAAGGCTGTAGGAGACAGCCAAACATGTTCTGTTACTTTTACTTGCTCTGTCTGTACAACTCTGTCAGATTAGCTGAAGTTCCTGGGATTGTTTTTTTGGTGATTGTGAATCTGTGTTAAGGCTTAGTTTTCTGTAAGGAAAGCAAATGGCCCATTGTGTCAAAGTGAGGAATGACTCTGCATCCAAACCTTAGAAGAGCACTCCTGTAAGCCACTATATTTTCTTTTGAGTGGTTATCCTGACAGACTTTTAAAGTCTGCTCTCCAGCATCTGCTTTTGGACTTCTAGTGATACCCAGTGTAATCCCAGCAAACAAATTTATTGCAAACCCTTTCCAATAAATGGAAGTATAGTAATGGATTGTTTAGATGGCATGGAGACCAAAAGCTCAGGAATTTAGATTAAAATCCATTTTAGCAGAAAAGAGAATATGATCTTTCTAGTCTGTCTTCAGTCATTTCCTTTTAAATATGGGATTTTCCCTGAGTACTTTAAGTATTTAACTGAATTTTTCCCCCCTTTGTGTATATTGTGATTAAAACATAGGATGATTCTGAGCATGGTCATAGAAGTCTATAGTGGTAGTGTAGTAGGGAGGTGTGTTTGATGGGAGCTATGAACTCCTCAAAAATCTGGGCTTTTATGTTGCTGCTGCCAGCAGAGGATGCTGTCAACTTTGCTACTGTCATAACTTTCATGTTCACTTGCTGTAGTGGTGCATACTTGAGATGGCATGTTGTTAAAGCTCCGTGTCCTTTGTGTGAGGGTGAAGTCCCTTTATGAAGGACACTGGTAGCACTAGCTATTCCCAGAAAGGCAAGATATTAATCCCTTTCTGACTTTTTAAGTAGTGGTAGACTTTTTTCCCCTTAGAATGTTGTTCTGTGAAGCTGTCACTTCATGCTCCAGCAATTAAATATTCAGAAGTACAGGGTGAGTGACTGTCTTCCCTGTCATTGTGGCCTTGTTTGTGTAAGATGTAAATGAGGGCAGATAATGCAGAAGAGTCATTGCCTAGTAGCTTTTCCCAAGCAGCTTCGTGGTCTGGAAGAGCAGAAATATGGTGGCTGTTGGGCCCATTTTGAGAGGCAGGTGCGTCGCAAGCATAGACCTTAGTATTTCCATTATTCCATTTCATTTGTCTGGGGTGGCTTGTTCTGCTGGGAAAAGAAAAGATGGTAAGTTCTTCACTCACAGAGCCAGGCAAATGCCTGCAGAGAAGTGTGTTCCCCTGCAGATAATATTCACATGGTAAGAGCACCCAGTCAGGGAAGCAGTTCAATCAGCCATGCTAAAGTTGTCTTTCATTTCATACTAAGCAAAAAGAAGTGTTTATTCCTTACTGTGCAGTGACTGAATTTGTTGGTTGAATATTTCAAGACATGCTGTCTTTTTCCTTCTCTGCTTCATTATTTCTCCTGGCTGATTAGAGGGAGCTGTTGTGCAGGGGTCCTTAGAGCTGAAACTTGTCTCGTGACTCATTTGATTTCTTCTGCTGACACTTCACAATGAAATCTCTTATACAGAGTTCTTGCTTCTCCTTTTGGCTCCTGTGTCCCTCATTCTTTGCTTGCTCACCTGAGCAGGGTCATGTATTTCTTCATGTATTTCTTTCTTGCCCTGATCTAGATGGTCTGGCTTCCCTGCTTCTTCAAATCTGATGTAGGACAGGGAGTTGCTATTGTGTCTAGCTGTCTGCAGCTCTTGCTTTTCTCCTGGAATCCAGTGAATTTTTTTTAATGTAAAAGCCATAGCAAATTGCCTTGATGCTTTATCTTTCTAAACTGGTTAATGTAATTGGTAAATATTCTCTCTTCTTTCATTTTCCTAGAGATCAGGAGAAAGGTGTAAGGGGCATTAAACACTGGTTGGTTTTACTATACATAGAGCACTGGGTAAGGAGTGAACCCTGTGCTTGTGCAGGGTGCCTGGGAGACAAGCCTTTCTGAGCTCTCATCTTTTTGTGGCGTTCTGAGGGTTTTTTCTCCTCTAAGATTCATTCTTGTATCTTTTCAGCTTTGCTTACCTAATGACCTAGTAAGGGGCGTGAAAAACTTGGCCTTTGCACTGTTTGTGTACATATGGCCTCTAAATTTAAGCTAAAGCCTCTCCTCCTGTGTGTCAGTCTAATAGTGTAATTTTCTCCATGCAGTTTCTCCAGAATCTCATCTGAATTAATTCATAAACGCATTTAGTTTGTGATAGCAATAGCAGTAGTGTTGGCCTAAGAATGTGAATTAAAGTGATTTTTATAGATATTAATAATATCCTTCTGTTACAGCAGCTTTTATGGACAGGGGAGGAGGAGGGAGACACAAGCTATAACTGTGTTATTTGGTCTAATAAGATCTTATCTCTCTACATGTGCTGCCTGTGTTTAACCTGTCACTGTTGTCATCTTACTGCTTACTGAATACAACTGACAACTGTAAACGTAGTCATGTCTGCATGAAAGCATTTAATACAGTTTGTAATATATATACACAGATTGTAATATTAGGTTATTAACAGATAAATTGATATGAGTGGGTTTTAAGGTTAGCTTTAGCAGAATCCTAAGGTAAAAGGAAAAAGCTTCTTGTATTCTGGGATAAGAATCTCTGAATGGAGAATGACGTCACTTTAGTCTTCCAGCATAACTGGTAAAAACAGATTCTTTATAGACAAATCATAGATGTTGAACTCTTTAATTTCAAAGTCTTTTGAGTGTCTTATGTTTGGATCACATAGTAAATGTAGATTTTTAGAACTAAACTATCTTTTCTTTTGACTTCTTCAACGAATTTGACTGGGTCTCTTTCTAGAGACTTCCTTCAGTCTGGAACAGCTCTGATGCTGGAGACTGTGGGTGATGCTCCTAGGACTCCTTGGATAGCGCTAGCTAATTTTTTTCATGTGTAATTCTAAATCTGTCACCATAATCAGAATATGAAGGTGTTTCTGCAGATGAATTCTGGCCATGTATGTCCCTTTTTGTCTGCAGTAAGCGTGGGAACAAATATACAAATACAGGTTCATTTTATCTGTCAGACTGAAAAGCAGATATATAGGACAGTGCACCACCTCGCTGTCTGAAAGCCTTGCTCAAATCCTTCACTACAGTTCTATAAAGGCTTTCAGGCCGAGGCTAAAGGTGTGGCTGTGGCTGACTCCTCTGTCTGCTTTTGAGAGTGGGCTGCCTGGTAGAATATAGATATGAAGGAGCTTGGAGATTACACTCTTTTTTAATGTCTGCAGCTTTTCCCCTTTCTATCCTCTCCTTTTTCCTTCCTCCCAGGAGGATCTGTGCTGGGGTGGATCTATTCAGTTGTGCCATTGTCACAGACTAGGAAGGTCTTTATTGGGTTTCTACAAGAAGGGCTTTACCTCACAGGTCTGATATGTTGTTTTGGTGCTTTATATTTTTAATTTCTTTTGAGACACCACTGAGCACCCAGACAGAGAGTTTGAGCACTGTAGGCACTGTTTTACTGAGACCATAATGGGCATTCTGGTTTTGTGGAAGCAGGCTCTTGCTTTGTAGAGATGATGAATCACTTATGGAAAGCTTACAAGATCCAGGGTGACATTATTTGGCTTTATTAGTCAACTTAAAATCCTTCTGTTTAAGGCATATTCTGGACCAAGACTTGTGGTTTCTCAGATGGACATCTTACAGAAGTCTCTTCATAAGTGCATAAGATACATGAGTATCCGCCATGCCTGTCTTCTGCCATTTTTGGTTGCTTTATTGACACTGTCACGGCAAGAACTGCCGCATCTAAGTTCCTCTAATAGCTTCTTGCCTTAAAAGGTTCTAAGATTGCAACCTGCCAGCTGACTGCCACTGCATTAAAGCTGTAAGTCTCACTTCTCGTTTCTTGAATATGATTTTCATTTATTTCGGAGAATAGTATGGTAGATTGTTTTTGGCCTCTTCCATAGGTGAAGTGTTTTGTGTTATAGTCAGTGCTCCACTTCAAGCTAGCATTTTGGTTTAACTTTTTTATGTATTAGGGAGAAAAGTGCATGGCTGATTAGACATTCATGCGAGATATCCAGGCAATCACCCTTCTTTTGGAATGTCTTCATTTAAAGCATCTTTTCTTGTTAGCTTCTTTAAGAACCTTGACTTGTGCACTGGTAACTGAAAATATTAATTAGGAGCTGCTTGGAAGCAATTGTGTCTGAACTAACATTATTATGAGAGAGAGAAGGGGAGACAATGGCTGTGGCAGTGTGGGTACTCAGTAGTGTGCACTTGTGTAGTAGGTTTGGTTTGGGCTTCTGTTCTCCCTATTACTTCTCAAGTGGGATGGTGGAAGTGGGTTTCGGGGAGGGAGTTGTGTGCATGGTGAGAATAAGCATGTGGTTTGCTTAATGGTGGAGACAGAAAGAGATTTTTGGAAAGTTTGAGTGAGGGGAGAGGTTGGAGATTACCACTTACTGAAGTAACTTCTTCCCTACCCTTGTGAAGGAATTCCATGCTCGTGTTTAAATCCAGTCTCTACCTTTTCAGTCTGACTCTATATCATTATTTGCTAGAGGCACAGCAATGGGAGCACTAATCTGCAGAAATGCAATCAATTCACAATGCACCTGCTGTTTTCCCTTGGCACACCAACTACTAAGAGCACACGG